CGTTAATCCAATCACTCCCCTGCCACGGTAGGACAGGCAGAGCAGTAATCCGGTTTACGTGGGCCGCAAATAAAAAAAGAATTTCTTGTTCCCTGCGTGCATAGTCTCGCCGGTTTCTCGATGTGACATTGACGGAGAATAACGAGAAAAATTACAGCAATTATTTTATTTTTACTACAGGCTCCTCGACTCTCAAGGTGACGGCGCGCAGTCGCACGGGGCTTTGAGCTTCCTTGTCGCGGCTGAGATGTCTAAACACTGAGTCAGAGTAAAAAAGGTCAATCAAAAATAAACTAAAATAAAAAGAAATACAAATCATTTCAATGAAAGTTAAATCAATGAAATGTCATAAAATAATAATTAAATTAAATAAATGTTGTTTGCCTTCTTGGGCCTAACAAAACAAATGAAATAAAGTGCCATTAAGTAAAAAAATGATGTGAAACGAACCCCCCCCATAAAATCACATAATTCTAATAAAATAGAAGTAAATTAAGTTATACTGAAGACAAAATTGAATAAAAATATCACAATTCAATAAAATGACACGAGCTCATAAAATGGGAGTTTTCAGTAAAATCTTTCATCCTATATTTTATGAAATGAAGTTTGGCACCTTTAGGACAAAGAGTGGAATATGAGAATATACAATGCTGTGAGGCTAAATAAAGAGATAGTTCACTATCACACAGGTCTTTTTTTTTTTGGCAATTACAGTATCACTTTAGACGTGAGTTGCTTTGATTTAGCAGGAGAGTATGAATGATTTGGGATTTTTTTTTTTTTTTTTTTTATAACAGCTTATTCACATGCCTCCCTGTGATAGCACAATTCGTGGAATTTTAATTACACGCCAACCTGCACATTTGGAATATCCTTCTACCAGCTTGAAAAAGGCATCAGGTTGGACCTCACGTAGTGTATGAAATGTGGGAGAGAATTATTTTTTTTTTTAACTCCATTAGGGCCGGAAATATATGTCGTGAATGATGAAGTCTTCACGACTAAAATGTGCGTCATTCAGAGTCAGGGAATAGCTGTCTGTCAGTTACAGCATACCTACAACAAGCAAGTTGTTTGTCTTGACTCTAACCTGGGTCAAAAAGAACAATTTCTCTCTGTGTTAAAAAAAAACAAAACAAAACAAAAAAAAGCAAATTGTGTGTAAGGGGGCGGCATGAAGATGTAAAAAATTGTGTTGTGCTTTGCGCGGTGCAGCGGTAATAAATATAACCTGCAGACTCATTAGCACAAAGCCGTTGCTGCTCGATAAATAATGCAGAGGCAGAAGTGCCTGTTTGATCCTTGAAAGGGGGAAAAACCTGGGGACCGTTTGTCTTCAAAGCAGAGCAGGTACAGGCAACGAAACTCGGGAACACAACATATAAGTCCTTGAAACCGGCACATAAGCATATCTCCAGCGCTTGTTACTTTCTGTAAAAAAAAAAAAAAACAAAAAAAAAAACCAGGCAGGTCCTATCTTTATATCTGTTTATACATGTTCTAGTTCTTAAAATGTGCTCATCCTATTTGGGTATATACAAAAAAAAACAGTACAGTTCCAATATCATATTTAAAAAGATCAAACATAACATTGTAAGAGCCTGCATTAAAGCACTTGATGATCTCTTTATGAAAGGCCATCTAAAACATTTGCTCACGCGACATACGGTGTACAGGGTTTGCTGAAATAGGTGCTGTGCCATCTCCAATAGATGCCGTGCACCTGTTATCCCATCCAAGAATCTATCCACACTTGAGATGAACGCCAACCAGCTGTCATTATGGAAACACAAGCAATCCCCCCTAACAGTTATGGTCAATGCGCTATGATTGCCCTGCGACCGATCCTGGGTGTACTTCTGCCTTTCGCCCAAATAGGATAAGTGACATCCATGAATGGATGGATGTTATCGTCGGCTTCTTGTCTTGGTAACGTTCCTCGATGCCGCTATTTATATTTTGCTAAAAACAAAACAAAACAAAAAAAAGCCCCCTCCATTGCTAAATTGGGAGACTCGTGTTGCAGGCAAGCCGACGGGGGTAACAAGCGGGTGTTTTTATCCTATTCTCCCGTGGGCAACACACAATGTAAGCCCTGAAATCTTTTTTCCTGACAGGCTCTAATAAGCAGTTTGAAGTGATTTTGCGTCCCGCCAACTACCTGCAACCTTTGTTTAATTCTAACAGAGAGAGAATTAAAAAAAAAAAAGAGAGAGAGAGAGAGAGAGAGAGGCAGCCCACTTTGATTGTTTTGACAACCCACTGATAAAATACGGCTCACTGCGCGTGAAAAAACATGATGGTATACACGTTCTACAAATACCAAAGATTACAGACGAAAATTGGCTTTTATCCTCTGAGGAAACATTTATTTGACATTAAAACAGAACTGCAAAGTCCGAGTTCAAGTCCCACAATGCACTGCTGTCGCTGGTTAGCTTAGATCTTCATGGATATTCAAATTTAGGATATAAATTAGAAGGTTAAAATAAAAATTCAACGAGTACACTCCCGATTGCGTTTGTCAAAAAAAAATAGCAGCTCGTGCAGGCTTGTTACTGATGAGCTCATTTTAGCTCGCTAACTAGCTAGACAAAATATAAGGTGCCATTGACCAATGTAATTGATCTTCAAGTCAAAAATTTTGTTTCATTACGCATAGGTTTTAATTTGAGGCACTGCTCTGTATTTCACAAACAGAAATCAAATATCATTCTTAGGAGGGTCTGGAGGAGTGACCGGATCTGCGCCTATTGCCAGCTGTATGCGTTAATTACCGTTTTTTTCCACACTATAAGATGTGTCGTAGTATTAGGCGCACCTTCAATAAATGGCCTATTTTAAAACAGTTTTCATATATAGGGCGCACCACATCGTAAGGCACATAGAATAGAAGCTACAATATTGGGTGCTGTTGCGTTATGCATCCACTAGATAGAGCTACGCTAAAGGAATACAATACAATACAGCTTTATTTAAATAGAGGTTTCACAGCTGCTGCAGCTGGAACAAAGTGCTTTACCAGAACTCTTAAAATACTACGTCCAAGAAATCAGAATATTGATTAATATAGAAGGTGCATAGGATTATAAGGTGCACGGTGGGCTTTTGAGAAAATTGAATGCTTTTAGGTGCACCTTATAGTGTGGAAAATACAATATTTGACCTCAACTCTAACTGTAATCCTGAACCCGAACCCCCAAACCCCAAACTTGAATGCTACTCTAACCCCAACTCTTATCATGAATGCCAAACTGCAATCACATTCTACACTTGTATTTCCAGACGCTGCTACACAGTTCAAACCATTTTTCCCCCCCAACTCTTGCCAGTGTTACATTAAAAGGTAGCAATTTTAGTTTGTACACAGAACATGCCCAAAATCACATCCTTGTTATTTGTTGGACATCGTCATGCAACATACATTTGAACGAATGTCCTCATTCAACATACATGATAGCGTCGTTCGCTGGTTCCCGACTGCAGTGTGCATGTACGTGCGCCGAATCAGCAAATGACTCGATAAATTATTCAACTGGGTAAAAAAAATATCCTCTATAAATTCCCCTCTGAGTGAAGTAAAGGAAACAGATGTAGAGGTGAAAAAAAAAAGAAAAAATGGTAAACTTGTCACCCAAAAAATATACCCATTTTTTCGCTGCTGACGTCCTCTATAATCGTATCAAAATCATGAATGTGTGCGTGTGCACGTGTGTGCGCATATGCGTTTGTGGGTGAGACGGGGGCGCGGGGATTGACATTTTTGAAGTAACTCTCCCAACCCCTGTCATCATTCCGGCAAATTTCTTCTTGTCAACGTAAGGGTTGATTGACTCATTATAGTCATGTGATTCTAATGCGGGCGACCGTAGTAACAATGTAACAACGTACGTAGTCTGATGGCGGCCTGTGACGTCACATCATTTGATTTTTATCAAACGACAACTGGCACATGATCTGCATGAGACCTTGACTTGGTCTGGAAGCTTCACTTTTATTTTCCTCCCCATCCTCAAAAACCCATTTCTACAGGATTTGACATATTTTGAATGTTTTTTTAATACATAACTTTTAATAGTACTGTTAGCATTAGCCACTCTGCTGGGGGGAAATACATACCTCTTCTGTTATTAGGAATGAATTAAACTAGGTCAAATCCATAATAAAGCTCCTCCCCAGGTCCTCGTAATGAGCACAAACAAGCCCAGGAGGCTACTAGAGGAATGCTAACCGAGTTGGACGACATGCTCGGAATTGCAATGACACTAAATTCTTGCACACGGCACGTCCCTGCAGACTGAGGGAGACTGGACGTGGAAATATTTGCACAGTTGACATTGAAGATGCCAAACAGACGCCTTGGTTACCAGGCTGTGCTTTTATTCTGGGCATGTAGAAAGTGGTTCAGCTTTCATGGGAATTGTGGACACTTCTCTGGTGTGGACACAAGGTTCGATTTCTTTTGGGGCCATGTGGTGTGAGGAAGAGCCAATTACAGGATACTGAATGTGGTCCACAGGTTTGGTTGGGATTTTTTTTCCACAGAGACGCTAATTTTTTGCTGATTCACTGCCATTATACACCTGAATATGACACATATAACCTTCATATGTCACACCTTGACCTGCCACCCGGAATCTTGATGTAGCACACATGGCCTTGACATGGCATAAACAACATATGCCATCACAACTAATATGCAACCTTTATTTAAAACTCAAGACATCATAATTTTGCCATGCAACATATCAAATTAATATGCCACTTATGTCCATAACATGCCACACCTTGAATGCCATACTTCAGTTGGGATTGGATCGATTATTATATTTCACTTAGTGCTGAGCTTTATTTGGTCCAGCAGCAACTGCTCTTTTTTTTATGATTTTTGCTCCTGAAATAAAGGTGACAGATAAACTCGGTGCAAAATCTTCCAAAGGGTGCCAGCCTCGCTCCTTCCCGGAGTTTCATGAAATGGAAGAGTCTGGCCCACTTACCCTGTAGTAGTCGCTGCTGTAGATATCCCTTGACATGCCGAAGTCGCCGATCTTGACTAGGAGGCCGTTGCCCACCAGGCAGTTGCGAGTAGCCAGGTCCCGGTGGACGAAGTGCTGCGAGGCCAAGTAGACCATGCCCGATGCAATTTGGGAGGCGATGTGCAGCATCTGGGAGAGGCCCAGCTCACCATTGGACTGGAGCGGCTGGCCATCCACGAGTATCATGGCGTCTGGGCCGTGGGCTCTGCGTTGAGGATAATGTTACTCTGGTTACGTTTGGGAACAGCAAAGGTCTTGCATTTGGATTACCTGTGAGTGGCATTTGTTTGTGCCGTTTGACAAAAAGTAGCACGGAGTGAAAATGTAGACGACAATGTTACCTTTTAGCTAGCCGCCCACAATCTATCTGCCCTATACATTGCTTTAAAAGTCAGTTTCTTTTATTTCAATGCTCAAAAGTTATCATCACACATCAATCTTCCCTGAGTGGAAACTGAAGAAGTGCCGCAGCAATGTGGAGGCTGTGCAGTAAAAGAGTACACCAGTTCCAGCAAATGGAATGGCAACAGGTGAGGCTAACATCGTGTTGAGCAGGCCGTCAGCAGCTATTATTTGGAAAAATAACTGCTTTAATAATGATTGTGAGCTCAGCTTTAATTGTTATGCAAACCTGCTTTGAAAAACTATTTTGCCATTGTGATTGTTTTTGAGTTTCAGAAGCTTGAATTCTGATGGATTCACCATTGCTATCAGTCATTTTGCGGTTGAGAGGGGTTTTGTAATCATGGCATTCGCCCCGTGCGGAGTTGTTTTGAGGTACCACGACTGTGTCGAGTGCAGATTAAGAGCTCATTTGCATTTTATTTTTTTTAAACATTTATGGGTGACGATGACGACTCCCACCCCTCAACCTCCTGGCGTGAAGATCCCGCTGTCCTCATCACCTTCTCGTCGCTGTGATTACAAGACGAAGGCAGCGCACAGGGACACACTAACACACACGGGCTGTCATTCTGTTTCCATCTGTCACATTTAGGCCAATTAAAGGTTTTGTGCTCGAAGAGCGAAGCTAATAATGAATCTCTAATGCAAGATGACGAGCAGAGGCTTCGCCGTCTTGCCATGTGTGTCACGCACGGCGAGTGATTTTCATGTCATTAAATTAAATAAAAAACATATTTTTAGACAACCGTCTTGCCTTATTAAAAGTGTCTTGCCCTCGTTTGAAATGACTGACGATTTGACTAATGCTAAAAAAAGACATGGATCCGGTTTTCCGCCCATCCATCAGCATTATTCATCATTCAACCTGCATTGCTTTCAGTTGCCCACAGGGGGCGATGTTAACAGTTTGACAAAACGCTCAGTTGGACGCTTCATTAGTTGAATCTTCACAATTAAATCAAATCCACTTCAGAGCTTTGCACTACTTTTATTTTGGTAGGGCGACACCTCTGGTGTTTGTTGGCATGATAGGACTCTCAGCCAGTTTTGGTCAGGATTTTGTCAAAAAGGGCTCCAATTTAGATCATCTGTGACTCAGATTTGACAAGAAGGGGCAGGGAGTGAATCTTTAGACCACCACGTAATCTGGTTATGAACTCAGCTTTAATTGTGTTGATAAAATTCACATACCAGCCTACTCTTATCAACAATTCTTTGCCACGGTCACTTGGAAGTTCACGAGCTTTAATTTTGCCGATAAACTCGGCTTTAATTGTAACGACTAACAGAGCATGCAAAGCTGTTATCAACTTCTTTGATGGAGCCATTTTGACGTTCATCAGCTTTCATTCTTGAACTCTTTTGTTGCAGTCAATTTGTGGTTTGACTGGTCTAGTTGCGAATTTGACAACAGCGACACGGCGCATGTACAGTGGAGCTCTTATGTTCTTGGAAACCTTCCCCTGAGCTCACGTTCCAATCCTGCGTGTGTGTTTGCAGCCTTCCTCACATCTGAAGTTTGATCAATAGTTGACAAAGAAGACACATTATGGCCCAGCGCGTGATTTTTGTGACCATCTTCTTCAAGGGGGGGAAATCCTTTGACGTGGTGAATGATGACACTCTTTCACGCTAGGTGCAAGATGTGGCTGATTGCGTTCGCGGAGGTCACGTTGAATGAACATGCATGATGTTGACAGGGAATCATTGGGAACGTATAAGCCAGAACTGTACATGTATGAAGACACATTGTGGATCTTTAATGGAGCTTGTCTTCACAGCGAATGCGTTCTTTTAATCGTGCATTATTTAAAGTTGTTCTTTTTCTTTTGTGTGTCATGAATAACTAATGAGAGAAGCCATCGTATTGATGGCAGGACATTGTGGACGCAAATGTTGTAGTGTGTCATCTATATGACAGCCTGTGGGTAATTCATTTTCATTTCTATAGTGCAACGTGGCAGTTTTCATTAACGAGCGAGAGGTGCGATCGCATTAATTGTACGGCACATTGATTGTACCTGGATGTGTCTGACCGTAAACTTTTTGTATGAACTCTGGATTATTTCTAGTCATGCGGTTTATCTCTGTCGCGCATGATAGAGACCAACCTTGGTGCCCGTGCATGACTAAGCATCCCGTGGAGTCGATTTTTAATCGTTTCTATTGTGCAAGGTGGCGGCTCTCACAGCACAGCGTTCAGGAAAATGGACCAGACCTGAGGAACTTGTTGAGGTCTCCATGCTTCATGTACTCAAAGACCATGATAAGGGGGTCGCCGTCCACGCAAACGCCGTAGAACTTGACGATGTGGTCGTGCTGCAGGTTGGTCAGCAGCTCAGCCTCCCTCTGGAAGTCCTTCCTTGCCGACAGGTTAGGATCTTTCAGTGTCTGGAGAGAGTACAAAAAAAGTTGTGTTTAAAAAAAAAAAAAAAAAAAAGAACGTCGAGGGGACAGAGGCAAGATAAGGACATGCAGTCAGTCCTTGGGGAAAACATCCGCCTGGCGTTCACCTTGCAAGTCTTTCCGCCGACAGGTAAGAAACAAGATAAGACAACCGCCACTTTTGTGATGTGGGTTTTTTTTTTCCCCCAAGAAAGTAATTAGTCACTTGCCGGAAAGTTTGGCAGGGACATAAGCAATGAAAAAAGTATAATGAGCTGCAAAAACATGGCAAGGGATGATGGGAGAAGACGGACCACGACAGGGTTTGGTTTATTCGATTTGACTTTTTTTTTTTTTTTTCATAATGTAGTTTGAGTGTGACAGTTTGCGTTAATACGCAGACAGATTATAAATGACAATAAAAGGTCTAGACAGGCCTACTTTACTTTCACGTTTGACATTTTTCGGATAATTTTGTCAGATGCATGTGCCCTCATCTGTTTTAATACAACTTTTCCCCTCAAGTTTTGAGCTGAAAAAAATCTCGCACCTTTTGTGCTCTGTCAGCTTTTGCCTTTTTAACTTGTATTTTTTAAATTAGAGGGAGGAAAAAAAGTTCTTTATTTATGACACTACAATAACGAAATATCTTTCTTGAAGGAACCAAGGTTGCAAGTTAGCCACTCATGCTAGCTTGTACTATGCAAGGGGACAGTTCTTCCGAATAAATGGCAAAAGTAATGATTCCATTCATCATAGGACATGGACAGGACTTGCCAAAGTGTGTTGTGGATTGGCCGTGCGTGCAGTCGCCTGTGCGTGACCAAGCATAGACTTTTTTTGACTGTGGATTAATTCTCGTCATTGTCTTGATTTCTTTTGTGCAATTTGTCAGATATCACAAATAAATGGAGGGAACCGTTGCATTATTCATAGAACACACTTTGTTCCCGTGCATGACTGAATGTGCCATGCATTTATTATTATTTTTTTTTGACGGCGGATTTTTTATTTTTTTAATTCATGTTGCGCAAGGTCGAGGTTATCATTCATAACTAACAAAATATGTTTTTCGTGCTTGTTTGAACCAGCCGGCTTGTCAACCGAGAGGTAAGGAGAGAAGAAAAAATACAAATCAATAAATCAGCCGGCATAAAAATTCCCCTGATTGTTGCTTAGCCTCGGCGAAAAATTCAGTTTTTCTGCAAGTAAGGCCGCACATGCCTCTCTCGTTATTTAGCGGGCGGATCACTCGCCCTAACTGTGAAACCTATTGTTTGTTGGTTTCTTTTTTTTAATCTCAGCAGCTCTTTGCTCTTTTGAGAGTTGCAGGTGCGCCAGCAATAATAGAACTGATTGAGCCCGGACTTCTATTGAAAGCCTACCGCATTAGAAATATAGAAAAGACCCCCCGTCAAAAAAAAACAAAAAAACGTGGTTTATTGCAGCCCCGCTCACGCAAGTCAAAAGACCTTGGGATGGAAATATGTCGTGAAGACAGTGGGGAAATGTACGGGGGGCGAGTAGGTAAAATGGCAATAAAATTCTATTACCAAATCAAAGTGCACTCTTAAGGAAATGTGTCTGGACTGGGCACCCCTCCAAAAAAATACTACCAAGTGCTCAAGTGCCACAATAAATGGAAGCAAAAGTGCCGCTGTGATCCCCCCACCCTGCTTTTCATTGTTAACCTTAATAAACGCTTCCCAAAATAACCTCACATTCACAAAGCGCATATTACGGACAACAGCGGATATGCTTCATCTTCGCCCGTCAAGGTCAAGGTGTTTTGCCATCTTTAATCGGGTTTGCTGAGTTGGCATGCTTTAATGCAGTGTCACTCTGATTCACATTCGGCTGCGGGGAGCTGCCAAGGACAATTTAGCGCCGGCTAGCGTGAAGTCATTGAGAGACAGTCGCCGCCCAAGACAAGCGGCTCTGAAAGCTTCTTAAATGAGTGATCACTCTTGTCAATGTGTCGTTTTTGTCAGGAGTGGTAGTAGGGGGGTGGGGGGAGGGGAAGAAATGACACGGAAGACAAACAGTGACGTGGCAGAACGTGTCAAAATCTGCTGACGTTGAACATGCGCGTACCGTAGTTCCTCATTATTTTTGTTTCCGAGGCTAAGTGGACATCATATTTTCTCACTCTTTATTCATAAAAGTAGTTGTAGTATTTTTTTCCCCTGCAGTCTTTTGCCATTTTTTTTTTCTTGGAATTGACCATATTTGCCATTCTGACAATCAGACTTGCAGCTAATGCTAGCTCATGACATGCGAGTTTCTCATTTCTGCGAAATGGCATCATGCAAACCCACATGAAACACACGCACAAACTGTCAGCCGTACCTTGACAGCCACCAGCATCTTGTCCTTGGTGGGACTCAAGTTGTAACACTCGGCCAGGAAGACTTTTCCGAAGGCTCCCTCGCCGAGCTCTCGCTTAAGGATGATGTCTCGGCGCTTAATATGCTGCACCACTGGCGTGTCGGGATAGAGGGGAGAGCACAGAGTGACCTTTTTACACAAGGAAACGGCACCTACATCCCACACTATGCACCACACAGTCACAAAAAAAAGTTTGGAATGAAAACCAACAAGAAAAACGGCCAAATAATGGGAAGCAGCAGAGAAAGTAAACAGAATGCAATCAGAAACCATTTCTGTTTTAATTGCATGTTACTCTGGGGATAACTTAACAGTTGAGCTGATTGGACCATGAGCGCTAAATGCTAACATAACAAGGACCAAGAAAAAGAAAATATTTAAAAGCACATTCTGCAATTTTAATTGATGAGCCCTCCTAATCGACCATAATAGGCTCAGATTCCCCTCATATACATTCACCTCATCTGTCAAATTCGAAGTGATGTTTGTAAGCACAATTACGTAGAAACTCCAAAGTCACAGTCGAGCTGGGGAAGATTCTCTTCCAAGCCTACCCGTTGAAACACTTGATGAATATATTCGTCGGTGGCAGTAAACATTTGGTTTCTAGTTGGTCAGTCCTGCACTTCCTTAAGCCATCTACTTTCATATACGAGAATACCTACTTGGGTAGATTCCATTTAAAACTTGACACATGATCAGTATAAATGATGTTGTCAAACTGCGGAAGACTCTCTTTAATCCTGCTTTGACTCTTCTCGACAATTGGAATGTGGAAATAAAGCAGCCGGGGCAGCAAAGCTCTTCTTCATCTTTTTATTGGCAGCATTGGAACGCCACAAGGGGAAATTTTATAATGAGAGCCAGAGTGTAGAAATTAGTTCATTTTGAAAAAAAAAAAAAGGCTGAGGAGAACAGAAGGAGTAAAAATAGCATCTATGGTACATTAGCTCCGCTATATCAAGTTTTCCGAATCCCGACTCAATTGTCTTTAATGTTTACAAAAACACACGTGAGGTTAATTGAAGACAGTGGTCTCCTTATGTTTAAAAAAAAAAGTACATCTGGTTCATTGAAGACTGCATTGTCTGATGTTTAAACCCGGTCAGGATCACCGAAGCCGATATTTTGAGGTTTACAAAAGACGTGTTCGGTTGATTGAAGACTCATCACCTTGATATTGAACAAAAACACTTACAGTAAGTTCAGTGAAGACTGTATTGACTTAAGTTTACAAAAACAAAACAAACTAAGTACAATCGGTTTGTAGAAGAATATATTGACTTCAATGTAAATAAAAATATGCACATTAACTTCAGAGAAGACCCAAAATTGGCACTAATGCTCACGAAAAACGATGACGCTACAAGAATATGCAAGTTAGGTTACTGTAAACTCATTTTTGATGTGAGCAAATTTGTACGCTAATTTCATTGAAGACTTTGTTTTTACTGTTTGCAAAACCATGCACGTTTGGGTTTCAATAAACACATAATGGGTGACTCAAAATGTTTGTATTTAATAAACTCAAGTACGTTTGGTTGAGTGACATTTAAAATAAACGTTGAGTTAGTTTGGCGAAACAACCGTATTGTTCCTGATGTTTTCCGACAAATTTTAAAAAAAGTGAGATGACCTCGTTTTGGAAGAGTAAAAGAAAAATGATAGATGGTTGAGCTGTCGACCTTGGACATATTTAAATGATATTTGGACTGGTTGCCAGCTGTTTAATGTCACCGGTTTTCATTTTGCTGACAAGTTTTATTATAGATGAGGAACGAAATATCCCCGAGGAATACGTTTAATCCCGTTCAACACACAGAGTCAACTTCCACAATCTCGATTTTCTCCCCCATCTGTGCGCTGTGTTTGTGCCTGCCGACGCACACTTTATGACTCAGTCTCATGTGTCGATCATTGAAACGATACCAGCTACTGTTGAGTGAGAGACGGATGTGCCCGAGGTGAAATCCTGTCACTTGTCACCGCGTTTGTTCGTTTTATATCCCGCTTCAAAGAGAATTCGGCACTTCTCACCAAAATGCCGCAGTGGTCAAGTGTTACGAGACAAGCAGACGGTATAAGAAAATATGGAGACTAAATATACATGTTATGTTCTGTGTCTTGAATAAAACCCATACGTTGGGTTCTTTAAAGACTCAACATAGTTGAATAAAATATAATATATGGAGTAGGCGGCTCGAACAAAAAGTGCAGTGTGTAAATACCCTAAAAGAAGTCACATCGCACCTTTACACTCGCCTTCTCTGAGGACTGCTGTGCAAAAATCCTCTTCCGCTGTGAATCTTCCTGACTCGGGCCGCCGACACGTTTGGCTCGGGAAGCGAAGGTGTCGGCAAGCTCGGGAATGAGAATTATTCATGATTATCGAGCGTGGTAACTAGCGAGTCGCTCATGTTTGAGCAGCTCAATGGGCTCTCCGTCAGGAGCTCGTGTCACTTTGCCTCCTTGCGGCGCGGCCATTTTGGCCCCTGGATCTGGCACTCCTTCAAAGCCGTTTGCAAACGGCGTACCGAGCAGAGCGGTCGTACTGGCGAATAGAAGAACAATGCGTTGATGCGGCAGCGAGAACATTGTGCCCTGTTGCATCAAACATGCGTTTAATAGTCACGTCCTCCACATAGTGACAAAAAAATTAATCTCTTCACTCAGCCAATCATGTGCCGGCTGCGAGATTAAAATATTGCAATGTGCTTTGTGACTGTCACATTGTCTTCTTGGCGCACAGTGGGATCGCAATGACAAAATGAAGCAGAGCAACATTAGCCATGTGGGAGGATTGCGGAGAGATTAGACGATTGTCCGACGCTGGCCTGCTTTAGTTTCGTGTGAGCGGATGAGGCCAAGAAATAAGGAATTGTGTTGTTACGGAGGCAGTGACGAGGGTTCCGCAATGCCGCCTTTGACCTGTTTTCGGTCGTGGATATTTTGAAAAGGACTTGTGACAGATTGGTTGAGGACTAAATTTGATGTAAATCGCAAATGAAAGCTGAAGCAAAACCTGTGCATACGTGTTGCGACGTATTTCATATTGTGCTCATAAATTTTCAAAGTTTCATGCAGCCTTCTTCCATTTGGTCGCTACGTGTCCGCATTTTCCGGGCGGCCGTGACATACGCTAACCTTCAATGTCTTCTGCGGGCATAAAGCCACGCTGAAAAGTGGCAAACAGATGAAATCTCGATGCCGCCGCCGCCAACGGCGCACATGAATTCATCTGTCCCAGTTTGACCTGAGGGCCTTGGCGCAGAGGGAACGTTTTCCTCACTGGAGATTTACTCAGTTGGGTCAGGCACCAGAGCTTTTGTTATGTACCTGCGACGGTGCGTGTCTTTGTTACGCAGCCACAAATCCTTTGTCCCCAGAGTGTCTTGTTTTATAGTCCTGTTGGTCAAGGAAGGTTTTCTCCCGCCTGTCAATCACAAACTCTCCATTTTCACGTAGGAAAATCATGCAGCCCTTCAGCGAATTAGGCCGAGAATCATTAAATCCCCAGCAGCCTACGGCACTGGCAGCATTTATTTCAAAAGATCTTTTTTTTTTCCCCCGACATCACATTTGCTCTTCACTGATTGGTTCATGTCGCTATCTGTTTGCCCAGCTTTGTCCCGCCTTGGAAATGCGCTTGATGAGACTGCAATTCTAGGCTACATACGTTAGAGAAGTCAAAGATGATTGTCATTGATGTTTAGAAAACACGCTAGGTTGTGGTTTATTTTCACCAACCATGTTTAGTTGAAAAGGTTTTCCTCATTATGGGACACAAAAATCAATACGGAACCTTTGCTGTGAATTGCACAGGCAGGCTGCCATTTGGTTGGATAGTGGCAGTTTTCAGTGGTCGTTTCTGAACGAAATGAGAAAAGTAATAGTGTAATCTAGTGACAATGCCGAGGTCCCTTTCCCCTTCGCAAAAAGCGTGAGCTCACATTATATATTGGTTCTGCGGGTACAGAAATTACAGAGCGAGCTTGTCTTAGCGGTGTCGCTCATAACCCCGCGAGGACGTAACAATGCTAAAGCTAAACTAACCGTCGCTCCTCCTCCTCTTCTGAAGCTATTGTTCATCTCGGGCCGGCGGGACGTTCCAAATCCGTAATTAAAAAAGCAATCCGAGCGATTAAACAAAGCCACTTGCTGTGAGACAGCGGATCCTAGCGAGATAGCAATCTGTCATTAGGCTAAAGAATTGTCCTTTGCCTTTCCGCCTTTATCTCGCTAATGTGGTCGACGGAATTGGCCCTTTTTTTTTTTTTTTTTTTTTTTTTTTTTTTTTTTTTTTTTTTTTTTTTTTTTTTTTTTTTTTTTTTTTTTTGCGTAGCGCCCGGCGGATTAAAAATAAAACAGAAAAGCTCTCAACGAAACATCCTAATCAGTCACATCTCCAGTGTTTACTCCACTTCTCTTGTGCAACCAAACCAATTGGCACTTTTTATTTTTTATGTTTTTGAACAACTTTGTTCCACTTGAGTGGCCTTTGTCATTCCATGCGTTCAACTGGAGTTCGAGGACAATCTGAAGGCACTGGCGTCATTTATTTTGGTTTAGCTTGATAGACGGCTATTTTGGGAGTGAGCCAGGACATAAAAAAAAGGCATCACACGCATGCCTACTGATTGTGGCTAATTAGCATTAAGAGTATCATTAGGATATCCAAGCATCAAATAGACGTGATAGCAGTATGGCCTCCAAGTCCTTCATGCCGATTTTGATCTTTTCCTTTGGTTTTGAAGTGATCTGCTAAATGATGAATGAAAACCGGATTTATTATTTAGTGTGTCCAACATAAGTCTACATCCACATACAGCGAGCACTGCGGAATGCTACCAGAATTTCTGGCACTAAATTTGACTGAGTGTACTGAATATAGTCGATGATATTGTTTGCGAAGGAAAGGAACCGAGCCATGCTGCGAATAGCAAAAAGTGGCCGGTAACTGACGTCGCCGTAAAATGGTTCATAATTGCTTCAAGATGCCGCAAGCTTCCACAAGGATTAATTTTACATGAGATATCGCTTTGGCCTGAGCACAAAAGATCTCAGTAGGTTTTGCGAATATGTGAATTTTAGGCGGAGGTTTCGAGGTGCACATGAGATGTGTGGAGCGCTACCTAGCACAAGTCACTTCTGCTCATTGCAATAAGACTGTTCAATTGTACTCAATAACTTTATCGCACTCACACATGCACAAGCGCACACGCAATAAGAACACTTTCAAACGACACAACGTTGCTGTTGGTTCAACTTGATGCTTTTTGTAAATCACATTTCCCTCTCAATTGCTTCATTTTGATCATGCTCGCTCTTTTCATATTAGTCATTTTCATTTGCTGCTGTATCCACTTAATTTCCCCGATGTGTGATCAATAGTTTTCCCTTTCTTCATCTTCTTTTCCAATAAGTGAGACTTCGTTCTCGTTAAATGTTAACTTCTTTCTCGAGAAAAAGAAAAAAAAAATCTCAGAAATATCCTGCTGATCGGATCTCGACTTGCCTCATACTAAGATGCCACAAGATTGTGACAAAGCATCAATCCTCTATCCCAGAGGTCCCAACCCCCGGGCTGCGGACCGGTACCGGTCCGTGGATCATTTGGTACCGGGCCACACAGAAAGAAAAAACGAACTTACATTGCAACAGGTGGATTTTCTTTCTTTCTTTTTTTTTTTTTTTTTGAAGCGTCATATCCATAAATTGCATGGTTAAATCTGTGTTGCGCACCTGATCTGCTGGAAGAAATGTAAAGACATTCTTGAAATCAGCATATATATAATTTTCGGTACACCTCAATTCATCGCCGATTAAAAATTTTCTGTTGACCATTCTAATGTAGAACATCTATGAATAGGCGAACAAAGCATTAGCAAAGGTTACTGACAGACAGGCTTTTGCCACCATCGGAACGAAACTCCTTCAGCCTGGCGCCATGTTGAGAGCCAACTGACTAAATTTGTCGCCCTCAAGTGGTCATTGTGAATCCAAAATATTCGGCTCGCAGGTTCGACTCAAGTTCGACTACAATCAGGTGACCATTGTATCCACCTTTCGCAGACTTTTTCCTAAAGATGTATTGTAGGAATATGCAGATTCTCCTGAGATCTGTCTTGTTCCGAGGCGATATTTAACCACACTAAAATAAAAACACACTAGGCTAGGCCAGGGGGTTAGTGGAAGATAAAATACTCATGAATAAACCATTTCGGGGGGGGAGTGGGGGATGCGAGCGTCAGCAATGTTGAAGGCCGGCAGTTTTTATACAGCCACCTTGTTTTTCTGGTTGAGATAGCGGACTGGACTTGACCACCACATTACCGATGGACACGCTGCTGATCGAAAGCAGTGCGTGTGTGTGTGTCGCGTGTAAAAGGGGGAAAATGCCAGCAGCATATTCCCTTGAATACAAAGCTTTCAACTAAATGAATGAATACATTACAGATCGGTAGCCGGCCATCAATAACGCAGCTCTACTGTATCTGAGCCGAATGAAGCTCTTTGCCGGACAATAGGGTGGGACCCCTGAGACCACCCCCGACACAATCCCTCCACAGGAACCAGGACTGCTGCAGTCACGGCCCTGCAGAGACGATGCAGGAAAACAGTGGCCGCGAGCTGCACTAGCAGTCCGCCCACATCCGCACTCTCATTCACAGGTTGACACAGCCTGGCAAACACCTACACAGACACAGACACACACGCAAATACACACACTGATAAGCACATGCATTTTCTTTTCCCCGGGCGTGCGTCCTCAGGGTAGCGAACACATTCATATTCAGCGCAGGCAGAAACAGTCGGGAGCCATTTTGTTTTCCTGGCCAGCAACTGGAAAAGCGGAGGCCATAATGACCTTGTGATGAGTTCTGGACTTTTAATATGATGCACTTCGAGACAAAAAAAAAAGTATCGCTTCAAGGAAAAAAAAAGTTGCGAGAATGCGGTCATATTTTTCCAAGATAAAAAGTTGTACAGTGGAGAGAAAAAATATACAGTGCATCATATACAAGTTTGAGAGAAAAAACTAAATCAATTTTTTTTTCCAACCGTCCATCCATTTTCAACACCGCTGATCCTGAACAGGGTCACGGGGGGTGTTGGAGCCAATCCCAACAGATTTTGGGTGAAAGGCGGACTACACCCATAACTGGTCGGCAGTCAGTCACAAGGCAAATAGGGTAAAAAAAAGCAAACAAGTGGTAGCTTAAAATGAAGTTGAAAGAAAAAAAAACATGTTTGTACTTTCAAGGAAAAGGATGTGTTTTAGAAAAAAAAAATCATAAAGGTTGTTTTTTTTTTTTTTTAGGAAAATTGCAAGTTTAAAAGACCAAATTGTCTTTCGAGAAAAAAGGAGCATATTCTCAAGAAAAATGTTTGTGACTGTACAAGGAAAAAAAAATAAGGTTGGAATTAATCGGATTATTTGTTTATTTATTTTCAGAAAAAAAAGACATAATTAGCCAAGAATAAATTTGTCCATAATAATTGTAATATTTTTGAGAAAAAAGTCATTACGAGGGAAAAAATGATATTGCAGGGCGAGTATCATGAGGGTAAGCAACACTTTCGTATTCAGCGCAGACAAAAACAATCGGGAGCCATTTTGTTATCCCAGCCGCAGTGTGAAAAAGCAGTGGTCACTATGACCTTGTGATGGGTTTAGGATTCAGAACATCACGCAGCCACTCTTCTTCTGAGGTCTGCGTACCATCCAAATGTACCTCGCATCCTGCGAGCGACTTCCACGTGCAGGTGGAAGTTTCATCGGAGTGTCATTTATTCATTAGCTGGCAATCAGACGCTGCGTGCGCGGCATGCAATGTCATAAATCAGCCGACGAGCGGCCATTAACAATTCATGTCATTCATAATACATAAGAGCCCTCATTTATTTATCACCACTAAATGGGATTTCCTTCCATCGCCTTCCGCTCCCGCTCAAGAACGCGCGTCGCCGGCTGACCGACAGCCATTTTGGGAGCGAGCCAAAAAGACAAGTCCACAACACGCCCGTACTTTGTTTGTCGGGTTTCGAGTGAATGGGGGCTCGACGCGATGGCTGCTAATTAGGCCTTAAAGTGATCTGAGTTGATTCTGTATGAAGAAGGCTGCCAGATGCTCGCGCCGCATGGCTCTGCACAATAGATGACAACACATTACGGCGAGGGCCTCAGGGGTCTCAGTGTGTCTCGTTGGAAAGATAAACAGCAAATTACAGCAGAGGTGCAGCTTGGGACTTGACAGTTGTCCATATCAGTTCGTGGACAATTTTTAAAAACAACTCTGAGAAAGTAGGGATGGGTTAGGGTCATCATTGTGTACTCACGGGTGGCCGGCTTGTTGCAGTTGTGTCCGTGTCGGAAATATTGCGGGTTCTCCACCACGGGGATGCGAGTCATCCCGATGACGACAGCGTCCGGTCCCGCGTCCAGCGTGCACGGCGTGATAATCCCGTGGTTGACATGGTGAAGAGGGCTGGCTGAGTCTTCCTCGCCGCTGATCACCGCCACCGGACCTGAAACCAGATGGGATTTGCCATCGGTGAGAACATAATGGGAGCGCATTTTTGAGGATTGATTTTCTTTTTGAAAGATGTTTAGTCACGGGGAAATGTATTATTGGAGAGAAAAGGCGTTTTATTTTTCAGAAAAAAATAACCTTACAATATGAGAATAATATTTTTGAAAGGAAAAACCAAAAATGTATATTTTTACAAAAAAATTGTCAAAGACCCCCCCAAAAAATATTGGTCTTACAAAAAAAAAGTGTCAAAGAAAAAGGTATCTCATCCTTTGAGAAAAAAAAAAGCATTAGATCTTTTCCCCCCCAAAAGCGTATTTGACTCAAGTGTACCTACTATACTAAAGTATGTGTTTGTTCCCTCGCTTTGACACGTAGAAAACAGGCACGCATACAGGAAGTCAACAGTGGCGGAGTGGTGACAGTCGATCTGTTTACCCACAATGCCTAGTGCTTCCATCACAAGGCGGCAAATAGCTAATCAAGGGCAAGCGACATCCAATAATAGACTTCAGCCTGGGAATGGGGAGCGGAGGTGGGATGTTACGCGAAAGCCGCAATTTATTCAGGACAGCTGTGTCGCCGTTGCCGTCGTCTGCGCTTTCATATCGGAGCACTCACTTTATTATGGACGCGAGCATCGCATCGGCTCGGACAAATTGCCAAGCGCAGTAGGGAGCCACGTCGCTGGGTTTTTATTTTTTTGGGCCCATTCTCTCAAAATAAATCCTTTTCCAGAAGCGGACTCCTTGTTTGTCCAAAACACTCCCGAGTTATCATTTTATGGTAGCAAAAAATAAAAAATAAAGCGACTAATTGACCATGTGGTGCTGAGTTTGGAGAGTTTGTATATTATGCTGTTATTTGTTGCCATGCTGCACCCACACACAATGAAAACTCAAATTCTTCACAAGTTAGCGTCAATCTGACTAAATCTTAAGATCACGTTTTACCCTAGAAATGGGCATCATGATCATAAAATAGCTGCTTCAATTCAACATGGCAGAACTTCCTGTTTTGTTTTGTTTTTCCTCCCCCCATATGGCTTCTTGGGACTTTTTTGTGGGTCAACCCATGATAGACGTGTCTTACCTGCCTACCTACTTTACCTATCTACCTACAAACAACATCTTTGTTCCTTTCTACCTACCGACAATAACAAACCACCTACTGACTGACCACTGAAATGAAATATTGACCACTGCACTGCTTACCTCACCCATGATCTATTTACCGAGTCCATGTATTTATCCAAAGAACCTACAAGCTACCCGTATTCCAAATTTATGCATGTTACCTACCTACAGTATCTATAGCACCACCATATCGGCCAACCTACTTAACTAATGACCTGCTGTTAGGTTATGCTGTATACTCTCTATTTCTATTTAACTTGTATTTGTATGAAGAGAAGATTGGGCCCCCCACCTCATTTTACTTGAGCTGAGTGGTGTCTCTGAGAAAAATAGGACCAAAAGGATGGTATTTTTGAGTGTTCCTTCTCCTCTGGGATGCCAAAAACCTCCGCTGAGCGAGCGCTTATTGGAAAGCACACAAAAAGACCAAACTGCACAACAGTGCACAACAAACAACCATGGCTTCAAAAATCCCTCACACGCGCCCACACATGGAAGAAGTCCACAATGTCGTGATGGCAAAAAAAGAGAAGGGGAAAAAAAAAGGACCCCCCCCCCCAAAAAAATGGTACCTCTGTCTGTTTAAGGACACATGAAATGGAATGAAAAACCATCTGATCAGACTCCTGAGGCGGATCGATGATGGCTGTGCTCCAAAAGCACACACACACGCACGCACGCAAACGCACGTTGCTTTTCTGCCGACTATAAAAGAAAAATCAGACCTCTCGGATTTGAGACCAATGTAAGAATAGCATTTTTCTTAGGTGTGGGATGGAAAAAGCCAGACCACTAGTACGTATATACTGTAACTCCAATGGACTACAGAACTACCCTAAAGGACCAGTGCAGAATCAGCGTGTTTCACAATTCACAAAACTGCGGACCCAACTATGGAGACATCAAAGGTGGCTGCTAAAGCCAAGGCAAAGCAACTTTAGTTATTTGATAGAGTATAGCACATTTCATACACACGCAAGCTCAACTTCACTTCACTACAAGTACAACACTTACAAACAAAAGCGGGAAAGACATTTAAAAGCAAAGTCCAGAAATAACAGTAGCATATTAAAAATGGATTATCGAGTGCAAGAAGAGGATTTTGGAGAAGACGATTTAAAAAATGCTTACACGAATACGAATCAAAGGTAGAGCATAGTTTTGTTTTTTTAATTGGATTACAAGCAGTTAAATTTGGGGCTGACTTCAATACTGTTGGCATCTTATTTCATGTGTGCAGCATAACCGCTAAATGCTGCTTCACCATATTTGCTTTGAAATCCGGGCTCGCCTAACTGAATGGAGTCAGATTTGATCAACTTGACTACCCATTCTACTGTATGTATCTACCTACAACCTACCGCACACATCTAGTAATGTAAATATGAGCGGCTGAAATGTCTACTCCCCAAGTAACTCATTACTTTCTTAAGTACCCCCCGCCCCTCCAAACATTTTGCACCACTTCTGTCGCACCATTCCTAACAAAACTATGCTAATGTGGACTCTGACGGTGGCAAAGGACCAGATTGCTGCATAATGTTTAAAGATGAGCCCCCGGCCTGGCTTTCTAATACATTTCCCCGCGCTAGCGTCCTTCCATTTGTCTTCGAGAATGATGCCACTCTGGCAAAGATCGCTCACAACTCCCCCGGCAGACGGTAGACTCGGGGCGGCATTCGTCAATGTTCCCTCGCCCGTAATGTGCGATGGCGGCGATCGCGGCCAGCGGCATTTTCGCCAAAGTGTTTTATGTTTATGTAAGGCGCCCGCCTCAGGTGCATTAGCTAATTCGCCCAGATCGATTGATCAGGGGGTGACATCAGCATCATCGTCGCCACCCAGATGCCACGGTAATTTACTACCAACACCCCCCGCCCGGATCAAAATAGTCTCTTTCATTACGCCGCTGTCAGCGCATCGCTGAGATAGATCGCCGAGCTTAAAGGCAACGCTGTGCTGCAACTCAGCGACTCCCCCCCAAAAAACTTTGGTGTTTTTGCCAGTGGATCCTCCCAAACACACGAGGTGACAAGTAGGAGAACTACTCACCTCAAATAGACGGCTCGTTATTTTCGTTATGGCGTGAATGTTTTGGTTTAGATCTTAAGAACCGAACCATACCGCTGAGCCTTGAACAAGTGATTCTCAATTATTTTCTGTTACGTCCCCTACTGGAAAAAGAAAACATTTTGCCGCCATAACGCCCCGCTGCAACTCTAAGTACTGTCATTTTTCTGTATACGTGATATGATGTTTCTATATTATCTCAATTTTACCTACTTCAGCACACAGCACCCACAGAAATGTCATTAGATTGTAAATAAATAAAAACAAACAAACAAAACAGAAGGACAATTGTCTATCATTGAATGAACCGGGTAGATAAAAATCTCATGAGCCAAAAAATACGAGAAAGCAAACAAGTGCTGGACTACAAATTTAAATTTCTCAATAAAATGCATACATTTATCATTTCAAATACATGAGAAGAGACCCTTGGAAACAAATTATTGCATATAAAACTGCAATTGCAATATTGAGGGGGAGGGTCATAATGTGATTGTTTTATAAACTCTTTAAGCTCCAACGCCGACAAGGAATTCTTAACGGTGACCCCTGCCACTGTTCTATAATTCCAACATTAACCTCGAACCCAAACCCAACCTAATCCAACTTAACTCCTTTGTCATGAATTTAACTTAAAAATCTGTTTTGCTTTTTTTTTTTTCCTTCACCAATCCATGTCAAGTGTCGACCTAATATATAACAACACACATCTTCACGCTTCTGGCATTTTAACATCCGGTTTAAACCGCTGGTGTGTTGGGTTACTACTTCGCCTTCCTGCCTTAACTTTGCATATTCAGGCTCTTTATTTGACATTTGGAAACTCAAGAAGGGAACAATTAATTCCGCCTCTCATTCCACTGCATTATTGATGGGTACTAAGAATAAAAAGAACACACGAATAGAAACTTCTAATGAACGCTACTTAAACATTCCATTGTAAGGCTGAAATGTTCTCTCTCGACAAATCAATGGCGAGCAGCGTGTGTGCATGCCCGGGACTTTCTGCGCTTGAGTAAATAAATACAAAGTGGCAAGAAAACAGTCCAAACCTCAAAGTCCTGCTTGTGACCTTCTAGACCAGCTCGACTGAAATGATTTCCCCCGCACTTTGTGGAGGGTGAGGACACACACACAGTGGAAGAATCCATCAAACAAAGGAGCAAAGCTCCTTTTTTAATATTTCTTAACATCTCTGAGAATTTTACACAAAGCCTCATGGCAAATTTTTGACTAAAGCAAGCGGCATCTACGAAGATGTGAATAAAAAAATAAAGAAATAAACTTGACAGAGGTCTATCGAGTAACATTTAGTTGAATATGAACAGCTGGAACGACCCCATAGAAAGTTTGAAAGAAAAATCCAATAAGAAGTGAACAACGAAGTATCCTTAATGTGGCGCGCAACTGACATTTTTCCTTTTTACAGCACTCTTTAGGTTTTCCTCCCCCTTTGTTTTATCACTCTCATTTTACTTTTGACTGATTCTTTTATATTCTTTATATTAAAATGACTACATCGCCGCGCAGGCGTGTCTCCGCTTCCAAAATGGACGATGAAGGTGATTCTCGGGACACGCACACAGACAAGAGAATGAAAAAAAAAAAATCCCTGTGGTGTGAAATAAATTTTGCAGAGTGCGATTGCTTCCGTTCCACCTCCTTGTGGTAATTATCACACAGATTCCCTTTCAAAGGTAGTTAATTAGGACTGGATTTAACTGGAGGACACGAACAAGAGAACACAGGAAAGATAACTCACAGAGAGGCTTCTCATTAATGATGGACG